TTGGTTGTGAGATGGGCGGAGCGGCGAGCTCCACCTGCTGTTGATGGGTCGGGCATGCCCGGTTCTTCCAGAACCGTGAGCTGCAGCTGCGTGCGCCGCCAAAATGACATGCTTTATTTAGAAATGCAGCCGCGTCTCGGTCGCCAGCCGGTGTAGATGGAGCTTCAGTCCCGAATGTTTTTCTTTTGTTTTCACTCATCAGCCACAGATCCTTGCTCACAGCAAGCTGGGCTTCCTACCGTGGTGACTCACTCACATGTTCCCTCTCCTACATTAGTTTGTCACGTGTATTCCTAATGTTTTAATTCACCGCTTCATATATATATTTGTATATATTTATATAACATTTAATTTTGCATTGTACAGGATCTTTATCAGCGCTGTGAAAAAATGAGGCCAACTTTATTCAGATTAGCGAGCGACACCGAGGATAACGACGAGGCTTTAGGTGAGTTTGGTGTAAGGAGGCTCCAGCGTGGTAGATTTTATCATAATATTGCTAACCAGTCCTCTCCTTGCAGCGGATATCTTGCAGGCCAATGACAGCTTGACGCAGGTCATCAATCTGTACCGACAGCTGGTAAAGGGCGAGGAGGTGGCTAAAGATGGAATAACTGTGATCTCACAACCAGGTGCACGTCTGTTTTTCCCATGACTTCAGTGTAATGCGGCATCCATTGTTGTTGTTGTTTAATTCTGCCTTTAATCCTGCAGACTCCAAGTCAGGCGGCTGTAATTCAGCTCTTGTAGACCTGGAAGGACTTAATATTTCTGCCAAGACTGAACCGTCTAGTTTGGACTCTTCTGGCTCTCGAGTTCTGACTCGGAACGTGGGCCTGAGCCTTTTGGACGATGAACTTATGTCTTTAGGTAAAACCTCTTTAAAGAGCGTTTCAGTGTTGTAACTTACTGAACGTGCAAATAATTTTATATAAATATTCCTGGTCTTTTAGGTTTGAATGTAACAGAAAACTGTGACTCTAACAACACCTCTCAGGTGCGACATGAAACTGTCTCTCTGGAGAATTTGTCACTATGAAGGTGCAAGTTAAAAGTAAAGATTCACCACATGCAGTTAGGTCCCAAATAAATGTAGTTTTTTTTTTTTCTTAGACACTAATTGCTGCTGAAACGTCTGCTGCAGCGCTGCAGCCAGCTGTTCTCCAAACGTCACACGCCCCACCAGTAGAGGCCGCCGCTGCTCCTCCAAAAGCCATGGAAGAGCTGGACATACTGGGAAAAACGCTGTTGAAACAGTCTCTACCTCCAGAGAGCCAGCAGGTCAAATGGTAAGTGAAGCCAAGTAGAACATGAAGAAAATATTATATTTTGATTAAAAATTGAAATCCTGCAGGGATAAACTCCAGCCTCAGTCCAGAGTCTCTTTGCGAGATCTCCAAACCAAGTCGAGCAGCAGCTGTAAGTCTGCTCCTCCTGCAGCTTCCTCCTCCGTGGCTCCTCCTCCTGAGCCAACGTCCAGCCTGCTCAGCCACTCGGAGCCGCCTGACCCTCTCCTCCCCTCTAATCTGAGCGTTGTAGAGAAAAATGTCTCACTAGCTACCGATCCTAGCGACAGCATCTCTCTGGCAGACGTCCTGGTGCCTCTGGAGTCCATCAAACCAAGTAAGAGCTAAAACGAGATCATTAAAATAAAAAAAAAACATTTTTATTCCTGCAAATGAACAAAACTCACATTCATGCTTTAAAACCAGCTGCCTGAGATTTAAATTTAAACATTTAACGTGTAATTTATCAGACCGTAATTCATAACAACCAGAAAAATCTATTACAGTAGTTATTTATTCATTGGCTTAGTTACTTATAATAATTATATATGTATATGTATATATATGTATATATGTGTGTGTGTGTATATATATATATATATATACACATATATATATACACACATATATACACATATATATACATACACATATATATATATATATATATATATATATATACGTGTATATATAAACAGTGTTGGGCAAGTTACTTCAAAACTGTAATGCATTATTTATTACTTGTTACCCTCATTTTAAAGTAATTAATTACATTACAATATTACTGATTTTAAAATGTAAGGCATTACACTACTGTTGCATTACTTTAAGTTACTTTCACCAAAACAACTTCAATATGAATCTGGTCATGTGACGCTCAGTGAGCTCATGACATATGTGTGGAAGGTGATGTGGTGTCTGAGCTAGGATTGCTGTTAAAAACAGTCAGATATAATAACAGTGCTTTAAAATGATTGGTTATTAAATAAAAGCAACAACAATCTGTACTCTCAGCACGCTGCCATCTTATAGGGCCATCTGAGCAGGGAGTAAGGTGGTGGGGGCTCCAAGCCTATATTTGCCTTGGTCCCCAAATGCCTTGATACGGCCCTGGATGTGGGACTGACTTCTGGAGTGATCTGATTCTATCACATGTATAAATATTAAATGCTTATATATTATTGCTTTTCACTGGTAAAAATGTGTATTGGGGATAAATCTACCTACTTTTTTCTTTTCAAGCACTTTGTTTTGTTTTCTTGATTTTATTTGAGTCATTTCCGGCCCTTTCTCTCTCTAACCTTCCTGCATGCTGCACGTTTTCTCCGTCTTCCAGAAAAACTGTTTCCTAGATTTCCTACTTTCTAACTAATCAGCCAAAGGGATCTACCGAACGCAAAAAAAAAAAAAATTAAATAAAAAAGCTTTGCGCTGCGCTCCAGCAGCAATGAGTTGAAATCACCGGGGCATAGATTATGAACTCAGCTGAAAAGTACATGAAGTACCAGATAATATGGGCGGATATAAACTATCACAAACAAATTACTTTGTTTTGGTGGAGCGATTTTGTGAATATAACAGCGGCTGCACGCAGGACGCAGCTGGAGTATTTGAGCCATTGCCGCTCTGCACAGAGAATGCTCGCAAAGCTGAGTCCATAAATGACGTCATATATGTGGATACTGGATCTTTTTTCAGACTTCCCGCAATTTGAATTTTTAGGAAACCTGCATCTTGATTCTGGGTTTAAGAATGCATTGTAATTACCACGTTACTGACAATTGTACCGAGTAAATATTACCATTTTCTTTCCCTGTAATACCTTACATTACCACATTACAGCAAAAAGAAATGCATTACAGTAGTTAATTACTTTTGTACCGCGTTACTCTCAACACTGTTTATAAATGTGTATGTATGTATATATATATATATATATGTGTGTGTGTGTATATACACACATATATATATATATATACATACACATATATAAATATACGTGTATATATAAATGTGTATGTGTATATATATATATATATATATATATATATATATATATATATATATATATATATATATATTAGCTCTAACACAGGTTGGAGGAATAACAAATATTTCCTGTAGTGTTTTTGTATCTTTGTGACCTGCTTAAATGATTTCTCCTACATTTCAGGCAGCTTGTTACCAGTGACCGTATTTGACAAATGCAGTCTCCGGGTCTTGTTCACCTTTGCACACGACTGTCCTCCATCGAGGCCGGATGTTCTGGTGGTGATCATCTCCATGCTGTCCTCGGCTCCCATTCCTGTCACCAACATTCGCTTCCAGGCCGCCGTTCCCAAAGTAGGGGCAGGTTTGTTTTTCTCTGCTGCTGCTCACGACAACAGGGTTGTGTTATGAAGTCATGTAATTATTTTTAGGTGATGAAGGTAAAGCTGCAGCCTCCCTCCTGCACTGAGCTCCCAGCCTTTAACCCCATCCTGCCTCCAGCCGCCGTCACGCAGATCCTCTTGTTGGCTAACCCTCACAAGGTGCTGCTCGAGTTCTCCCAGAAACCTGATTATGGATATTAGTGACTTTTATATATACATTTATAAATAAAGCTTTGATTGATTGATTGATTGATTGTAGCAAGACTTGGTTGTTTTCAGCGGTCACATGCGCTGACATCCGTGTTCTTCTTCCAGGAAAAAGTGCGTTTGCGGTACAAGCTAACCTTCAACCTGGGGGACAACTTTCACGACGAATCTGGCGACGTGGACCAGTTCCCACCTCCGAACACTTGGGGGAACCTTTAGTGAGAAGGATGAGTCTGCTGTTGTCATACCTGCATCTTTACATTTAAGTTCCTGCCGTCCTTCAGCGCCGTCTGAGGAAGACGAGCTGATCGTGGTTTAAAACTCTGCTGTGCAAATACCTGAGGTCAGGTGTGGAGACCGGTTGACTTTGTGCCTTCTCGTTCCTTCTTAGATCTCGTCAGAGTTGCTGAAGGAGTTTATTCTTCTTCTTCCTCTTCCTTCCAACCGTTGGGTCTGTGCATTTATACGCAGCTAACTGTCAGCCACACGCAGAGCAGCGACTCTGGAAGCTGAACGTGAGGTTCTCCGGTTTAGATCCCGTTAAGCAGGTCCTGTGAATCCGAAGTAACGGGTCTTGCTCTGTTGCATCCTGGGTAAAATGCTCTTTGGAATCCAAACAAACATCTAGGGAGATTTATGATGGTCTTACCAAAAATATCATGAATTAAAATGAACTTCCTGTCAAATGAAAGCATCCATTTTTATCAGAGGTGCATCACTAACCATCATCTCTGATGTCGGAGGTCCTTTCCTCTTAAATGTAATAACTGGCGCTCGTGGGTGGGTGTTGGTTTGTGTTTGGATGAGGTGCTGAATTCACTTGTTTGTTTTTTTTAGCTGCAAGGTTGAAGTGGAGAGGATGACCTGAATTAAACCATTAAACTAGCCAGAATAGTTCCGTTTCATTAGTTACACCTAATCTGTCCAAAATCAAACAAATAACTTTTCATTTCTGCACGTTTTAGATTTCTTACTGATTGGTTTGATTTCCTTTTCACAATGTAAACTTTTATGCACTAATTTAAAGACATTTTGCACATGTAAGTCATTCCTTCTCATCGCCGTCGTCTTTCTACCGATTCGTCCAACGATGGACGTGAAGTTCGTGGAACATCTGGTTGGATTCTGCCACATGTGCCTGAGATCTGATTTTTTTGTTGTTGTTTTTGTTTATAAATGACTTTGTGAACTGCGACACCAGTTGATGTTCGAATGTTTATAATACAGATGTTGTTTGGAGGAGAATCTAGAAAAACAACTGTTATAGTATTGTAAATGCTATGAATTATTCCTTGAAGTCATTAAAAGTACATTCATGCTGCTGAAGTCCTGAGCAGACGGAGAAATAAGAGTAAGTAATCCCGACGCGGTGCTCGGCATTTATAAACCGCATATTTTAAGTGTGTGTGCAGTAACACTGGAACTGTTTTAACCAGGAAATACTCAAAACTATATTTTTACGTTTTGTTCTTAAAAATCAATTTTTTTTATGCACAAAACCCAGAAAATGTTGACAAACGAAGAGATTGTAAGTTCCAGTACTGATCGGCAGGAATGTGTTTCTGGGGCGGAGAAAAGCGATTCTCTATCAAACACTCCTAAAATAAAGCAAACACAAAAACACTTGATTGTTTATTTCAGAAAACACTAAAAAGATCGTGTAACATAACATAAAACAAGCATTTTTAAAACACGCATTTAATACACAACAGGAAATAGGAAAAGCATGCATGACCACGATCATCAAAACCTACGACGACGAAACTAGAGTGGTCAGATTTCACTAAACTACAAAGGAGACTCTCAAACTTGTTTATTCCAAAAGCGATTCTAAAGAAAAAACCCGTCCAAGTGGAACAAGATGAATCTAAACCTGAACCAAGAGGCGGCGGCTGGAATATGACTGCTGATGTTTATCATCGTTACTCGCCCAGCTGGACTCAAAAATAAAAAACACCATCTTTCTGGTTCTAATCAGTCAGCAGTGGTGAGACGACCAGAGATCCAGTCATGGAGATCTGTCCCGGATGGTCCACGATCCTCGTGTCACACGTGTGAAACAGGAAATAAAAGCCCTTACCTGCCTGGAAACCACTGCTTAAGCTCCTGTGGAAACGGAGTTAAGGACCCCCTGGTTTATGGGGCGGCTGCGCGGCCGGAGGAGGAGAGGAGAAGGGGTAAGCGGGTTGCCCCATGAAGCCCATGAGTGGGGGCTGAGGTGGGGGGAACTGCTGAGCCATCAGAGGCTGAGGGCCGCCTGAGGGTGGCGCTATGGGAGGACCCTGGCTGAACTGACCCTGTGGCTGTCCGGACTGGTCCTGGACGCTGCCGGGGTGACCCGGGCCACGAGAGTTGTAGCCCCCACTGTTGTTGTTGTAGCTCTGGTACTGGTCCGAACCGGAGTTGTAGTTGTTCCTGTGATCCCGGCCTCTGTCCCTGTAGGAAGAGGAGCGGTCTTCGTCGCGGTTGAAGTTGCCACGGTTGTCCTTGCCGCCGCCTCCGCCGGGGCGCATGCGTCGATCGCACTCATCCTGGTACATGAGGTTAGGGTTGTTGGCGTTGCTGCCACGGTAGCGCATCCTGCCACCTAGAGGGAAACCAACGCATCGTTAGTTAGGACCTCGTTTCAGTGTCGGCTGTTTGTTTCTCGGTCGTCCAGGACGTGATCGTCTTGGAGGTTTTGTCGGAACAACTGAACTTTTCTCATTTTCTTTGAAGACGTTTCACCGCTTCTTAAAACTTTGGTTGGGAGGAGGAAGCTGTTGAGGCGTGGTGTTGATGCTGACCATACCAACGTCTTCAAGGAAAACATGAAAAATCCAGTTGTTTCCACCCAAACCTTCAAGTGTCTAGAGCAGGGGCGCCCAATCCTGGTCCTGGAGGGCCGGTGTCCAGCATGTTTCACCTGATTTCAATCAGCAGGTGATTAACAGGCTGCTGCAGAGCCTGATGAGCTGCTGCACAGGTGATTCAACCACTGAATCAAGTATGTTGGAGCAGAGAAACCACTAAAACATGCTGGATACCGGCCCTCCAGGGCCAGGATTGGGCACACCTGCTCTAGAGTGACGTGATCCCTCGTACCGCCGCCTCCTCCTCGACCCGAGTCCACCAGCTGGAGCAGTTTGGGATTAATGGCTTGCCGGGCTTCCTCCAGCACCCGGACAAGGTCTCTGGCCTGTCGCAGGTTTCCCGGAGTGAAGAAGGTGTAGGCGGTGCCCTTATTGGTGCTGCGAGCCGTACGCCCGATACGATGCACGTAATCCTCAGAGGAATTGGGATAGTCATAGTTGATGACAAACTTCACGTCTTCCACGTCTTTAGATTCCAGATGGAGGGGAGGAAGGGAAAAGAAACACACGATCAGCACAGGAAACGGCTTCTGGAAAGTCTCCGTATTTGAGACGTTGTATTAATATGATTGTAAATGTGGACAAAAATATCGTGTTTTCATTTAGTGACGTTAATGAAACCAACTTGCCTGCCTTTTCGGACACTGTGCACAAATCCACATGTCTGTGTTAGTCCGACACCCTCACTACTCAACATGACTCGACTTAAAGTGAGCATCATATGGTTTTGCTAGGTGGCCAATTAGATCTGCGTTCTTCACAGCAACATGGTGAGTCTGTTTCTCATTACAGAAGACGTGGGGCTCTGACAGCACTGCTGATCATTACTCTCCCATCTCTCCCCCAGTGTGACGGCTGAACGCCGTTTCATCGTCTGCAGCGCTGAAATATTTATGTGCTAGAAGTAAAAATCTATTCTTCTTTTGGAAAATAAGAACAAAGGTAGTACCTGACTGTGTGGTGAGCTTGTGGAAGAGTTATGGTAAAGGGGTGCTGTGGTACTTACCCCCTTCAAGTTGTTTTTACAAAGGTAGCCGGTTCCCCCGGATCAGTCCTGGGTCAAAGGGAGGGGGTGAGGGAGAGGGAGACGGGATTCGTCCCTCACCTTCTGCTCACACCAGCAACATCAGACGGGAGCAGAACCGTTAAACCCCAGGAGACCCCCCCCCACACACACAATGGGTGGTTCTGTCGCTCTCTCGTCGCGTTGCAGGACCCTCCTCAGACTCTGGCCAGGACTGGATCCAGACAAGCCCGTCTAACTCTCTTTGTCCTGTCTGTCTGCCTTTTGGACCGATGGGCAGACATACAGGAGCCTCAGGCTGCTCCCAAGGAAGGCTCGCTGGACTGGGTTTGCAAATTGACAATAATGGGCCGTGAGGGGGGGGGGTTGGGGGCAGGCGGGCGGGCGGGGAGGGATCTTATTTAGCTTTAATCCCGCTGACACTGACTAATGTGACGGAGGGGGGCAGTGACAGCAGCACAGACTGTTACAGCTGCCGTGTGCTGCCAAACCCTGAGAGGAGAAGAGGGGAAAAGAGAACAAGGATATAGTCATGGAAGTTTCCACACGTAAAGACACTTTACTCCACCCCCTTCTCAGATGACGCTAATGATTCCTGATCCTTCTAGCACACAACACCTGTCCTACACAAACGCTTCAGCGGGGTGTCTGACTTTGTGAGTTTGTACTGAAAACACACAGGAGGCGAGAAAACGGGCGCAGGAGGTTCGGCCCCACACACCCCTCCTTTCAGGCAGCGTGCCAAAGAGCCCAGCTTGAAGGAAGCTTTTTAACTGCGGTAACAAGAAACAGACTATGGACCTGGTGGACCTGGTGGGCCGGCCCGGAGTCCTGGAGCCCTTCAGACTGTCTGGTTACAGCGAAAGGAGGTCCTTCCTTTAAATGAGCTTCATTAAGACCCACTCTGTTAAAAACCCTGTGGTTAAACTACCTGTACACGTCAGAGAAACACAGTTCTGCAGGAAAAAAAAAACACATTTCCTCCAATTTACATACCGTATTTTCCGGAGTATAAGTCGCACCAGCCATAAAATGTATAATGAAGAAAAAAACAAAAAAGTCGCATTTTGGAGGGAAATTTTATTATTTTTCTTACAAAATCTGAGACCAAGCGTTTCACATTGCAAGACAAGTCTCCGGCAGAGGAGCTGAAACCTGGACCGGAGCCGGCCCGCAGCAGCGCGGTATACATAATATGATATATAAGTCGCAGGACCAGCCAGACCATGAAAAAAAAGTGCGACTTATAGTCCGGAAAATACGGTAAGTGAGAAAAAGATAAATGTACAGCTTGAACAGTTTTACCGGTGCAGAAGACTTACCGTACATTCATTTATTTACAAAAAATTGTAGATTTATCTAAATGCCTTTCCTTTTGTTGATCTGTCATGCATACACTATTATTGTAATTCCCCCTAAAACACCCAAACAACTAAAGACAACTGTGAAAGCACATATGAATAGTTTATTAGTGCGAGAGCAGAGACATACCCAGACCACGAGACGCCACGTCAGTAGCGATCAGAATCGGGGCTTTGCCGCTTCGAAACTCTGTGGAGTTTAAACAGAAAACAAAAGGTTGAAACCTGCAAACAAACATTTGGAAAAAGACAAAAAGTAGAGCTTAAAAAAGGAAGTTTTAAGAAGTTGGTGGACTGTTTATGTTATCTCTAATCCAGCGTTTCTGGGATTAAATAGAAAAGACTTTATTAATCTCTCGTTACAGCATGAACAGAAATATGTCATGAGCGTGTGATCGTTCAGCAGAGGAGCTACGGTCGTTACGATTTCCCATAACTTAACTAGGTAAGTGGGATTACCTGTAAGTACCCAGTCTCTTTCTGGTTGGCTCTTGTCTCCATGGATACACATGGCTGGCCACCTAGCAAACAAAACCCCGTTTAAATGAAGGGATAAAGCTGATGATCACATGACCACAGAGTTCCTTATAGAGGACCGATGATGCAATAACCATCTGGATTCTTACCCGTCACGCCTCATCTTCCGGGTGAGATCGTCACATCGTTTTTTGGTCTCCACAAAAATGATGGTTTTGTTCTCTTTCTCAGCCATGATCTCCTCCATCAGCTGAATAAGTCTGTCATCACAGAGACACACACCCTTGATGAGATTCAAAAGGGACAAGCCGTTACTTATTTTAAGTTATAGATCTAAGTTATAATAGATCTCTGGTCGATACAAAACATGTTCATAACGTTCGTTGCACTGAATCCCTCACACGAGGCGACAGCAGCAGTTTTATTCTCGACATTTTCAGTGCCTTCCAGAGTGAGCCGTTTCAGGGTTCTGCCACTTTAAGAAAACAAGCTGGAGCTGGCCACGCCCACCTCTACTCCACTCAGGTTGCTATAAGCCGAGAAGCTCCGATATCCGGGAGAAGCTCGGAGTAGAGCCGCTGCTCCTTCAGCAGCAGCTCCCTCTTGCACGTGAGAGCATGTCTTATACGCTCCCCATTTGTGACATCACAAACAGGGACTTTTAACTCATTCACTACAATTGACGACTAAAGTCGTCATTTTAAATCCAACCATTCACTGTCAATGATGACTAAAGTCGTCATTTGCATGTGTTTACTGTGTGGGGGCGTCGGACGAGCCCCCACACCGTGAGAACAAACATCTCAGCTCTAAAGCTGATCTTCATCCGCGTACATCACACGTCACGTGATCAGGAAGCAGAACATCCACGTGTTAGATAATTTTGGGCCGATCTTCTGCCGATCACAATTCAACAAAGGATTATGAAAGAACGGATAACGCTCGAAACACGCGGATTCTTCCTGATGTAAGAGGTGAGGCTCCGCTTTGTTTTGGTTGTTTTGGCGTTGACATCATCCTAGCGCTCAACGTTCTGTGAGTCTTAAAAAAACAGTAAAAACGGTGAGAAATGCAGCGAATGAGTTAAATGACTTGTTTTGGGCACACAATTCTTCAAACCAAACACAAAGAAAACAGATGGACAGATTTTTTTCACAGTTGGGTTGTTTTTGAGGCAGTAGACCCACGTGGCAGCACAAATAGACTTTAATGGTCAGTTTTACATCATATGTCCCCTTTAATTCCAGTTAAATCCAGTTGTCACCAGTTTGGGTGTGAAAATTGACGCTGGACTTAAATTTGATGCTCACATCAACTCTGTGATCCGGTCCAGTTTCTTTCACCTGAGATGCCTTGCAAAAATCAAGCCCATGCTGTCGATAGCCCACCTGGAGCGGGTACTGCATGCATTTGTAATTTCTAGGCTTGATTACTGCAACTCTCTCTATGCAGGGTTGTGTCAGTCATCACTGCGTCGCCTACAGGTTGTGCAGAACAGCGCCGCCAGGTTCCTGACTGGGACCAGGAAACGGGACCACATCATTCCGGTTCTGGCCTCCCTGCACCGGCCTCCGGTCTGTTATCGTTCACACTTCAAACTCCTCGTCTTTGTTTATAATTTCATCCAGGGTGGTGCTCCCCCCTATCTAGCCACACTCCTGAACAGACATTCCCCATCACGCGCTCTGCGCTCCTCTGACCAAGGTCTGCTCGTTGTCCCTCGTTCTAGGTGTCGTACTCACGGGGACCGGGCTTTCTCAGTAGAGCCCTGCACTGAAGCCCTAGGCCCTCGGGTCGGCCCGGCCGCTTCGGGCCAACGACTGTGTAATTACCTCGGACACGGGCCGGGCCGGGCGCCTTTATTTTTATTCGAAATCATTAAAAAAATTAAAACACTTAAACGCAGCAGTAGAGCCCTGTGCGGGACTGTTTTCTTCATCCCGCTCCGCTCCCGCTGAATTTCTGACCATTACAGCCTGCAACCGCAACGTGTGTGTTACACTCCCGCCCGCACCTGCAGCGTGTCTACTCCCGCCCGCACCTGCAGCGTGTCTACTCCCGCCCGCACCTGCAGCGTGCATGTCTACTCCCGCCCGCACCTGCAGCGTGTCTACTCCCGCCCGCACCTGCAGCGTGCATGTCTACTCCCGCCCACACCTGCAGCGTGCATGTCTACTCCCGCCCACACCTGCAGCGTGCATGTCTACTCCCGCCCGCAACCGCAAAACTCGGAGAAATTATTACCTCACAATAAAAGAGATGTATTGAGTTTGCGTCCTCAACATGTCATTTTATAGGTTATCCGCTTTCACAGCAGCGCTGCGCTCCGTTTCAATCAGGCTGTACAGCAGGATTTCCCCTCGTAGCGATATTTTCTCTAACTCTGATTGCTTCATGCTATAGACCGTTGGAAAGCTGCTTTTATGTACTTTTAGGAACCATTGGAATTATTTGAATCTGATCAACCATTCAAAAGTTATAAAACGGAGCATTTTGGATGACAAACTCGCACGTCTCTGAATCTGTGTTGTGATTCGTTGCGCTCAAGACAGGAAATCCCGGTGGATACTGTAATGTATATGCACGGAAAGCCCCATTTTTAATCTTTTCAGCACTTTTGGAATTTTAATGATATCTTGAACTAGAGCAGGGATCGGCAACCCGCGGCTCTTCCATCCATCTGCCGATGTGCTTGTAAAATAATGAATGGGTATTTAAATAAAATGCTTTATATTTTACTGAATTAATTTTATATCTGTAAGTCAATTCTATGTGAAGATTGTCTGCGTAAACCTGAACAGTTCCAACCCAGTCTTACTGTGAGACCGTGTTGGGTCACGCTTGTGCGTAATCATATGCGCTCATGAGCTGAAGAGGATGTGAGATTCTGGGATTCTCCTCAGACGGCTCCTGGATGTGTCGCACATTGGAGACAGGAACAAGCACTATTCAGCCAAAGTTTCATAATCAGGGAACATTTTCTAAGTGACAAGTCTCTCTGAGAGACCGGGTTTGGAAAACACTCGCTTCAGTGGGAAGCTTCCCGCATGCGCTTCTGCGACGCTCGGATCCTGCACATCTTTTAACACATTGGTCAGGATTGACGCACTTTGTTTTCATTTAGTTGGTTAAAAAAAGTCGGGCTTGGGCTCGGGCCGGGCCAGAGAATCCTGAAAACCTTTTCGGGCCGGGTCGGGCTGGGGCTCCACCCCCTCGGGCGGGCCGGACACGGGCTCAGATTTTAGGCCCGTGCAGGGCTCTATTTCTCAGTCCTAGCACCGTCACTCTGGAACCAGTTGCCACCCTCAGTTAGGCTGTCCCCATCTCTGCCAGTCTTTCAGTCGCCTAAAAACCCACCTCCTCCGCTTGGCGTTTCCTGAACGTGTTTGAATTTGGCCCTCTTTTATGTTGAATTTATTTCCCTGTTTTCATTGGTTCACTCTATCCCTTGTTTTACACATTTGTCTTCTACTAGAATGTTTTACCTTTTTTTGTAATTTGAACTGCTTTTATTTTCGATTTATTCACCATATAGGGCTGGGGGTAAACGATTATTTTTAAAACGATTATTCTGACGATTATTTTATCGAATAGTCGACTATTCTAATGACTATTTAGAAAATTAATCTAATGATTATTTTTCTATTGCACAATTAACAAAAACCAGAAAATCTCAAATAAATTCCTCAAAAAAATTGATAAATTCTTACTGTAAGAGAATAAACACTACAGGCCTTCCATTTTGTATAACACAGCTTTTATTGTGTTGCGGTTGGTTATGTTCTGGTGACGTGTAGAACTTGGGAGTGCAGGCTGCTGCCTGAGAGGTGGTAGAAGATGGAGTGTCTCCAGCCTGCTTTGTTTTGGTCACTTATGTGCGTGAGGCGAGTGGTCTTACGGGTTAAACCAAACTCAGGTGGTATTTTACACTAAACCGAAAACCCACAACACTCTAAATGTAATAAAAGGGAGATCTACACCACAAAAAAGATGAACTCTAAACCAAAACGTAACAGCTTATCCCAACGCAAGAAGCTGTTAGCGAAGATGCTAACAGTAGCTTTACCAACGTTAAGTTCAAGTTACCAAGTTTAAATAAACCAAAACACCCAGCAGCAAACAGACCAGCACGGAGGAGAGACTGCTACCACCAAAACAGCTCTCCTCATGTCTGAAAGAAGCTCCTTAATGAAGGGAGAAACGCTCCCGGTGATTTTCTTCATCTGCGATAGAGACGAAGCAGCGCATCTGACCCCGGAAGTTGTTGTCCGTTGCCGGGAGACGAAGGCGGGCAAAACAGGAAAATAATCTAGTAGTGGACGGACATTGTTCCGGGTCTTCGGTATTTGGCGGAGATGTTAGTGAAGGCGGAGAAGAGGGCGAACTAGAGGAAAAACAGGCAGATTCCTCCTCTATTTACAAACTCCTGGGGATGCAACAAGTGGGCGCGGTGCGTCGACTTCCGGATCTGACGTCGACAAATTTTTAGAATCGAGCCGTCGACGTAGTCGAGGCTTCGCTACAGCCCTATCACCATATTTAACTTTCTCTTGTACCATGTTCAGCGCCTTGGGCTTCCCGATAGGGATGCGGAAGGCGCTTTATAAATAAAGCTTTGATTGATTAATTGATTGATTCCATTTAGCCAATTAAAAAAATGGTTCTTCCTACTTGTCGTCCTTCTCGGTCTCCATACAGACGTCAACGATCTGCAGGATGTTGTGGTTGGCACTGAGCTCCAGAGCACCAATATTAATCTGAATGTACTCCCTCAGGAAGTCCTCCGCCAGCTGACGAACCTCCTTTGGCCAAGTTGCGCTCCACATGAGAGTCTGTCTGTCAGGCTGAGGAAGGAAAAATACACTTAATAATAGAAGTAGAGAAAAAAACCAAAACACTTCTACTTTATTGTTGTGGAGGAAACCTTTCTGATACAGAAGTGCCACTGAGCCAAAGTCCTACCCTGATTTGTTCGACTATTTTGCGAATCTGCGGTTCAAAACCCATATCCAGCATGCGGTCAGCTTCATCCAGCACCAGGTAGGTGCAGCGGCGCAGGTTGGTTTTCCCCGCCTCCAAAAAGTCAATCAGACGACCAGGAGTGGCGATGCAGATCTCAACACCTGCGGTCAGAAACAACTGCAATGTCAGTAACAACAGGGTCACACATGTTTACAAGGTTTTAAGCACGAGGAATCTTGTGGTTAGTGTACTGTCCTGGAGGACCAGTATTCAGTATGTTTTAGTTGTTTCTCTGCATCAACACACCTGCTTTTAACCAACAGGTGATTATCAGGCTCCTGTAGAGCCTACTGAGCTGCTGAACAGGTGATTCAACCACTGAATCAGGAGTGTTGGAGCAGGGCAACAACTGAAACATACTAGATACCGGCCCTCAAGGACCGGGGGTTCCCCACCACTGCTGTGCAAGCATGCAGCCACGCCTCCAGGGAACTAAAACATCAGTTGCGGATACTCAGGAGTAAAAACTGATGACGTGTTCCCAACCCTGGCCTCGGTGTAAACGAGGTGCAATTCTAACGACTGAAAACCATACCCACCACGCTCAAGATCACGAATCTGGGGCCCTTTTGGTGCTCCACCATAGACGCAGGTGCTTTTGATGCGGGATGACTTGCCGTAGTCGAAAGCGACCTGCTGAACCTGCTGGGCCAGCTCTCTAGTTGGAGCGAGGACCAGACACTGTAGGGATACAGAATGATGACCAGCTAGCTTTGTGTGCACACAAGCATTAAGATTTAGATGCAAATCTCCAGTCTGAGGTTGTGTCACGTTTGTACTCACTATAGGACCATCCCCCCTTTCCAGATAGGGCTGGTGATTAATGTGAACAATAGCTGGAAGAAGGTACTGCAAGGAACAAAAAAACAATCATGTTAAACTGTCATTGCCCATTTGTTAATGATGATAGGCTTTCAGGGATGAATTCTTACAGCCAGTGTCTTTCCAGAGCCCGTCTGAGCAATTCCCACCATGTCCTTGCCGCTCAAGGCCACAGGGAAACCCTGGGACTGGATCGCTGTGGGCTCCTTGAAGTTCTGATGCATCAGAACATCCATCACATACTCTATAGGGCAAAAGCAGGAGATTATCAGCATCAATTGAAGGTATTAACATGTTAAGCCCTTAAGATGTTTTACAGAAAATTCATTGTTGATGAATTTGTTAAATATTATTTGTGTGTGCAGTATTAGGTGTGTTCCCTCACGAGGAAAATGTGCCTGGTGGAAAGCAGTTAAAGGCTTTGGGCAGCCTGAGCCTCTGACGGTGACCTCCTTCTTCCTGCGAATCTCTTCAATGTCATACTGGGATAAAGCAACAAGAAATAGAAGAAGAGACATGAAATGTGTTGTGTTCTTCTGAAACAACTGTATGCAAGAGGAGGAAACATACCTGACTCATTCGTTGGACCTCTGGGTGTTCGTTGTAGAAGTTCTTTTCAAACTTTGGCAGCTCATCCAGGTTCCATCTTTTCTTGCGAAGACGCTCACCGGGGTTACCAAACTTCATGGGTGGTGGTCCGTTGCGGCCACCCATGCCCCCTCCAAACCTTGGCCTGAGATGTTTCAAGAGGTAAAAGAAGAATCAGAAGAATTAGCACGAGGAGCAGGTTGATGGATGTCAACGCCACACTTGGGCTTCACCTGTGGTTTTTATCTTTATCTGCACCTGTAATGCTACTACTAATAATAATAATAACAAGCTTTATTTGAAGCATCGTTCTAAAACTCGAGGTCATTGTACAGTAAAAGGAAATAAAACACTCAAACAAGCACAAAAACAATACATGAGTAGTAAATATAAAACCATGATAAAACACATGATATAGTTGTATACAGTATATAATAGTGACATAGTTTGAAAGTTTTGATTAAATGACTGAATTTAAAATGTTTTTTTTTACAAAATCTAGTACAAAAAAATACAGAATAATAAATGATAAACCTTATTAGCATTATCCGCGGTAATATCCAGTAACCGTACACAATTTCTCAAAACATTCATCCTGTTTAACCCCAACACCCTCCAACCGGGGGCCTCTACAGTTTCATGTCCCAAACATCTACAACTGTCCACATACTCCAAACTAAAACCACAATCAAACAGCCCAGGTGGGAAAAAAGGCCATTTTAAATTGTAATAAATTAAGATACAATGATGTTTGAACTTAATTTTAGAAGAGCATCTGACCTTCTCTGGTGTCTGCTGGAAAAAAAAAAACCTTGAACAAATGTAGTTGAGGACCCCTGGAATAAATACAACAATTGACTAAATTTCCTAAATGGAATTTGAACTCACAACCTCCATCCTGTCAGCACGTTTACACAGGGCAGCTCTTCTAAAATAAAGTTCAAGTATCATTTTATCTTAATGTATCAGAAACCAAAAATTGCTTTGTTTACTATCTAAACTATTTTGATTGTAGCTGTAGCTGTGCTCGGGGAATGCAAACAATCACTCACACTTGGGACATGAAACGCCAAAGGCCCCCATTGTTTGGGAGGCGCCAGGGCCCAAAGAAAAAAGGCCTAGGGCCTAAAGGGTTATTGGAAAAGATTCTCCAGCAGCGGTGATTTAGTCACAGGCTATGTGACCACTAGATGGCGCCAGATACAAAGAATGTCTTTCTAAACTGATTGTTTTTCAAAACCACTTAGCAATATGGGTCAGAGTTCAGCGTGAACCCTGTGTGTGTGTGTGTGTGTTTTCTGCCTGTGGAAAAATATATTTTTCCATATTTTGAGAACTTGAGTTTAGTTTAAAATCTACAGATTTGAGAGTTTATTTCCTGGTTTATTGAACACAATTTTTCAGAAACACATCTGCTTATAAAAAGCAACAAATCCGTAAACAATGTCCAGAGGGCCTCAGTCCCAACCATGGTCCAACATCTATCTATTCACTGAGCTGCCGAGCTCCAACTTCTTCACATTTCACCGATGCCGTTGTTTAGTGGTTTTACAACGACTCGAGAGTAGGAAAACAAACCTCGTCATTGGTGAGACAGAGGAGTCAAATGAATTGAAAACAGTCTTTAGGCCCCTTTGGCGCCTTCGTGTTTAGTTTCGGGAATTTTCTCATTCTCAGTTGATCATATGATTTCACGGCAAATTGATCAAGCGTTTTGAAAATCACCAACAACAAAAATAACTAACCTGTCTCGTCCACGGTCTCTGTCCCTGTCTCCATAAGATGAACCCCCTCTCATGTCGGCAACGCAAATATTCTTACCCGTAGTATTTTTCGCGTTAGCTGGAGTCGATTTGTTGACGTTGCGTTCAGAATTAAAGAAATGCAAATTAGATAAAGACACAAAAATTAAATCCTAGTGAACTATAATACACGAATTAGGCAATAACAACGCTACAATAACAATGTGACCAACAACAGCTATATGCGTCACGAACTAACCTAGCTTGTTTTTCTCAAACCCGATGACGTTGTTCCTGCTAGTACGTTAACGTAGCGTCGTGAGTGGTGCCGTCTCTAAAAAAGCCTTAGCACTTACGTAACCTGACTAAAAGCAATGGTGAATGCAATTAGAACAAAAAAATGGTGTCGTCGAAAACGAGAGCTTGTTTAACAACTAAAACGTAGAAAAATGTGTATTGCAACCTATAAATGAAAAAAAGCTAAATTGGACAATAGTGCGTTTAAAACATCTTTATCTGGTTCTAGTAAACAAGAAAATAAAAGGTCTGTATATCAACCAGAAGGGGGCGACATTGCACCGAGTCGTCCATGCGTTTCACGAGGAAACGAAGAAGACAACAGCTGCAGGAAGTTAAAGTCGAGATGAGACAGACAGGCGTTTGGACGTGACGTTTTTAAGTTATTGACATTTTTAAAGCATGAACTAGCTGATTATCAAGTGACGCTCGTTAAAGAAATGCCTTTGTTCATTCAGGGTAGAGAACTTGGCCGCATAAGGTCGACAGAGGAGTTGTTCAGCAAATATCCACATTTACAGGTTAGTGTGGCTATTAGCTGTTCAATAATTTTAGCAAGTAAACACACTGACTTCGTCGGTTAACGCTGTTTAAGTCTTTTATATTAGACTGTACTCTTCTGAATGTCACACCATCAAGTTTTTTGCATTTGAAAGAAATCGCTGTTTTGCCTAATCATAAGAAACACGTTTTAATTAGTTTTAAATAGTACAAGTCACTAGCAAAACAATGATGCAAGCTAATAACAATGATTTCCTCTTTGTATTCAGGTAGAAAGAATTATAAAAGTACTAAAACACTAAATATAGCCTGCCCTTTTTTCCCTTGTAAGGTCTGACTCTTCTGTTGTTCTAACCACTTTCCTCTGTTCCTCATAAGTACACAACTCACCATATCAGGTACAAGGACTGGGTAGGAAATTATAATGGGAAACACCCAAAGCCTAAAGAACTGCTTGTCAAACCCACGTCTAGAATCTCTGGGGTCAAATAAGACTGGTCAAAAACTTTTACCTGTCAGGTATGAGGCACTTACGTTGTTGTAACGAATGATGTGTTCTTATGTTACAGGAACATGCTAGAACCTTTCGCTCCAGGCCTCTGGTTGAAGTGGACCCAAAGTGCCTCCTGTATGTTCAGCAAAGAGAGTTTGCAACAACAACACCAGCAGACGGTAAATACAAACCTATCACAGAACGCATCAATCTGTTTGGTTACAAACTTTATGACACAATTATTTGATTTGTCTACTCAGGTGTTTCAGGTAGATATCTTAATCTATTTTTCCTGGATCTGAATGCTCATGCATTAGTCATCAAATTGTAATACAGACGATTTGGGGCAGCAGTAGCTCAGGAGGCGGGTTGCCCAGTGATCAGAGGGTGGTGGGATAGATCCCAACCCCTGTTAGAGTATTCGATTGTGGGCAATAGAATATTGTGGGCAAGACACTTCACCCAGATTTCTTGTGTTAGTGGTGGTCAGAGGGGACAAAAGCACCAATGGCAGCCTCACCTCAGCCAGACCTCCTCAGGGCAGCTGTGGCTACATAGTAACTTACATCACTGGCGGTGTGTGAGTGCGTGAATAATGGAAAGTGCTTTGAGTGCCTTGAAAAGCGCTATTTAACTCTTTATTATTGTTGTTGTTAGTATTATTACTTCAGTTTGCTAGCCCGTGGGTCCTCATAACATATTAAAGGGGCATTATGGAAGTTTGACAGCCAAAACATGAGTAGAAATAATAAATTTCTTCTTCATACATTCTCCTGCAATGCCCTGGTCCTGTAGAATGAGCCCTGGCATTTTTACTGTGGTTGCCTGTTTTTCTGTAAAATCACAGAAAAAGAGAGATGCTCGGGTCGAGCAGGCTGCTTCATGCGCGTTCACGCTCAGACATAGCCCTCCGAACCGTTTTTTTGAATGTTGTTTCAGCTGTCATCAAGGGTATAAATGTTACAGATACAGGAGACACTACTGACGCTTTAGCTCGCCTAGTAAGACTTCGGGCTTTCGCGCAGAAGACCCGGGTTGGATTCTGGATGTAAACATAGTTGTTTTAGAGTTTCTTTTTTACATTAATGGTATATTTTTTTACAGTAAGATGCCCAAATTTTTATTTGAGACTCGCAGAACGCCATTGAATTCACAGATAAAAAAGATGTGGGTTCAACTTTCATTTTGGAACAATTTTTCAAGCAAGGGAAGGGAATGATCTGAGCATGCAGGAGGACTGACCCATCATAAACCTTTGTCGGCTGTGCTGAAGAGAAAGGTACAGAACCAAATTATTTAATTAATTAGCTGCGCGTTCTCCTGTCCTCCGGGCCACACACTCACAAGGGACTGTCTCAGCTGTTATTTTCGTTAAGGAGTGTGCACGTACAGCATGCACGCCTCGTGCACGAGCCTACTATTGAAGCTGCTGTTACGCTTTTGGCCTGAGGGGGCAATCATGAGCATAAAAATTCAAAACTCCGTCAAGTCTCTTTAAGCTTTGACGGATCATCTGCTGCTGTGGCCCCCAGACTCTGGAACTCTCTTCCCCTGAGCCTGAGATCAGTGGTCTCTAGGGTCGAGCATCGATTGGAACCAGGACCAACTGTTAGTCTTTCCCGGAATCGTTCAAAGCTTTTTATTTTGATTCCTAGAATGCTGACCGGGAGGAATCCGCGGCCGATCTCCGTGAAAAATAAACGTGATCTGCAAATTGTGATCAAGGCTTTTCAGAGCTGATCACACCAGCTGTCTGTGTGCAGCACAAGCCCCCCCTCCCCCCACCCAGATATAAACAAATGCGTCTGCCGAACTTTTACTCCGTGATGTAAACGTTAACTCCTGCAGCGTAGAGGAAACGTGTTAAATACGTCAACACGGTGGATTTAATAGAAGCTTTAAAGAACAAACTCTGGGCGGTGTGAGGCGAGTTTGTCTCACTGCAGAAATAAAAACACACACGGAGCGTCAGCAGTCAGACGCAGCCGCTCACCAACACTTGTGTGTGTGTGTGTGTGTGTGTGTGTGTGTGTGTGTGTGTGTGTGTGAGGTCAGAAGGCTGAACAATAACCTGTAGAATAATTAAAGTCATCATGCTAGAGCAGCTTCTCTGTGGTGGACCACACCAGCTTCGGCCACAATAAATAATAATAATAATAATAATAATAATAATAATAATAATTAATAACATTTTAATTTCCTTTCTGAACTATTTCTATTGAGTTTTAATGTTTAAAATCTGTTAGATTGTTACCGACAGCAGCTACGTTTAAGTTTCACTTCCTGTTCTGACTGAATGCTGCTGCAGCATGGAGGTGTAGTTCTCAGTCATCCTGGACATGATCATCCTGAGAGTTTTAGCTGAAAACATCTGGACGTTTCTGGATGTGTTGGAGACATTTAGCCTCTCATCCCAGAGGCTTCTTCCAGACTTTGGTTGTGGTCAGAAACAAACACACTGGTTGTGCTGCAAGTCTTTTTCTTTTTTTCTCCAAAACATGTTTTTGTTTAAATGAAGGTGATGTTGTTGTTCATAGAGTTAAAATTCATGTTGAAGTTAGAGAGCAAGTCACCCCCTACCAGAGTATTACTCCACTCCCACTTCCTGTTTGAAAAATGCAACAAATGCTGTTGCCTAGCAGACCGAGAGGGCGGAGCCGCTAACAAATACACACACACACAGGCTCACATTGACATTGTGACATCATATGGTACCAGCTAACATTCTAGGGTACCTCTTAGCCAGTAGCGATGGCAGATTTAAATTCAAATGCAGTGCAGAGTTTTTACCTGACAACGGCACGACACTGACAGTTTTAGGCAGGAAATTAACATTTTAACTAAAATGCACTAAAGTGCAAAACTATTGACTACATGTGTCTGCAGCACGATTAGACACGCATTTATATAGTTTATCAGAGAAAAAAAGTTGATTTGGGGGTGACTTGCTCTTTAAGTTTATTTCATCAAGTAGGACCTGTGGTTAGCTGGTTCATTTGAAACATGTCATGTCTTGAAAGAATCGAAATCGGGAATCGATAGGAACCGGAATCAGAATCGGAATCGTTCAAAATCAAATGATGCCTAACCCTAGTGGTCTCCTTCATAAAGCAGCTGAAGACTCACTTGTTCAGACATCTGCATAACCTTCACCACCGCCCTCTCCTTATTCTGCTCTTCCTACCACCTCTGCATTTCCCATCGGTGTCCACCTTTCTTGTTAATTTTCTCTCTCCCTTACTTTACATTTTAATCACAATTTTCATTGTATTTTTTCTCATTTTAACCTCGTTTAAAATAATTAAAAACTTTTTTACATTATAAAATTTTTGATCTTGTGAAGCGCTACATGAAGATTGTTTTCTTTCTTTCACTTCTGCTTGATCTTGATGTAGCTCATCAGTCAGGTACTTGATTTGTAATAGTAACGCATGTTTTTTATTTGTATTTCAGAGTATGTTTCGGTCATTGGGTCAGACGATGCTACAACCTGTCATTTGGTTGTGCTTCGACACACTGGTAACCTTTATTCTGCCCTCTGTACAGTAAGACGGAAGCTCACGAGCCGTGGTTTGATGTTCTCATTATTTTGTAGGAAGTGGAGCTGCGTGCCTTGCTCACTGTGATGGCTCCAGAACCTGGTCTGAGGTCCAACTCATTGTGAAAGCAGTTGCATCATTGAGAAATGTCTTTAAGGATGGCCGGTATGTCACCAACATGCACAACACAAACAAATAAACAATTGCTATTCTCTTACTTCCTCTTCTTCCCAACATGCAGATTTGAGCTCCATCTGGTTGGGGGTTTTAATGATGACGCAAGAACCTCCCATAAACTCAGCCTTAGTATTCTCGGTACGATCGGTCAGCTTCAGCTTTGGTAAACGTTGCTGTTGCCGGACAGATTTTGAGCTTGTGTCACATTTAAAATGACTCTTTTGTTCCTTCACAGCAGCATTCCAGAAGCAGGAGCAGGATATTCACCTGGAAACGTGCTGCATCACAGGTAACTGTTCCCTTCATGGATGCAGTCATCGTGGCTCTAAATCAGACTTCATCTGTTTAAACTTTTATGTTTCAGACATGAATGACATGGTTGAAAATGGAATTCATAAACCAGTTGTGTACGGAATAGGTGAGTTACGAATGAACTCCAGAAAGATGTTGGGCTCTTTCCGCTTGTTTGCGCTGTTTTGGATCATTGTTTGATTCTGTGCAGGTGTAAATGTTAAAACTGGGGAAGTGTTCCCCGCCTCGTTCCCTCAGAAAGGACCTGCAGAGGAGCTGAGATCAGCACGGACTTTCACTGGGGGACAGGTAACATCCACTCCAAACCAGTCAAAGTTGGAAAGTAATTAGTTGTAAATCACCAAATTAAATCTCCTTAAGTCATGAAATGTACTTTTTTAACTGTGTGGTCAGCTTGCTTCTCACACCAAACCTTCTGTCAGGAATCTTGGTGTGACCTTGGACCCAGCTCTCACCCTGGATTCTCATGTCAGTTCTCTTGTTCGCTCTTCCTTCTTCCATCTCAGGAACATTGCTAAGCTGAGTCCCATTCTGTCCCGCTCTGAACTTAAGACAGTTCTCCACACCTTCATCTCCTCACGCTTAGACTACTGTAACTCTCTTTTCACGTGTCTGAGCAGAACCTCCCTGAACCGTCTACAGGTGGTTCAGAACGCCTGTGCTCGGCTTCTGACCAAGTCCTCCAAACACACCCACATCACCCCGCTTCTCCTCCAGCTTCACTGGCTGCCAGTCAACTTCAGGGTTCATTTCAAGATCCTGGTTCTGGTCTATAGGGCCTTACATGGACAAGCACCATCTTACATTGGTGACCTTCTTAGTCCCTACACCCCCAGCAGGTCCCTGAGGTCCAGTGACCAAAGCCTACTGGTTGTGCAGCACCAGGCTAAAGGTCAAAGGTGACAGATCATTTGCTGCTGTGGCCCCCAGACTCTGGAACTCTCTCCCCCCGAGTCTGAGATCAGTGGACTCAGTGGTCTCCTTTAAAAAGCAGCTGAAGACTCACTTGTTCAAGCTGGCTTTTGTATGACCTTCTCCACCACTCTCTCTTTATTCTGCTCTCCCCACCTATTCCACCTTCCTCAGGATCCACTGATTTCCCTCTTTCCTGTTCACTCTCTCTCTTTCTTAACATTTTTTTAATCACAATTGCCTATTTTCGCTCATTTTAAATATATTTTTCAACATTTTCTAAATGCTTTTTTGTATTTTTACATTTTTTGTTTTTGTGAAGCGCCTCGTGATTTTTATCTTGAGAGGCGCTATAGAAATTATATTTTCTTCTTCGTCTCGTCTCGTCTCGTCTTCCTCCGCTTATCCGGGTCCGGGTCGCGGGGGCAGCATCCCAACTAGGGAGCTCCAGGCCGTCCTCTCCCCGGCCTTGTCCACCAGCTCCTCCGGCAGGACCCCAAGGCGTTCCCGGACCAGATTGGAGATGTAACCTCTCCAGCGTGTCCTGGGTCGACCCGGGGGCCTTCTGCCGGCAGGACATGCCCGAAACACCTCCCCGGGGAGGCGTCCAGGAGGCATCCTGACCAGATGCCCAAACCACCTCAACTGGCTACTTTCGATCCGGAGGAGCAGCGGTTCTACTCCGAGTCCCTCCCGAATGTCCGAGCTCCTCACCCTATCTCTAAGGCTGAGCCCGGCCACCCTACGGAGGAAACTCATTTCGGCCGCTTGTATCCGCGATCTCGTTCTTTCGGTCATTACCCAAAGCTCATGACCATAGGTGAGGATTGGGACGTAGATCGACCGGTAAATCGAGAGCCTGGCTTTCTGGCTCAGCTCCCTCTTCCCCACGACAGATCGGCTCAGCGTCCGCATCACTGCAGACGCCGAACCAATCCGCCTGTCGATCTCCCGATCCCTCCTACCCTCACTCGTGAACAAGACCCCGAGATACTTAAACTCCTCCACTTGAGGTAGGACCTCTCCCCCGACCCGGAGGTGGCAAGCCACCCTTTTCCGGTCGAGAACCATGGTCTCAGATTTGGAGGTGCTGATCCTCATCCCAGCCGCTTCACATTCGGCCGCGAACCTACCCAGCAAGAGCTGAAGGTCAGAGCTGGATGAAGCTAGGAGGACCACATCATCCGCAAAAAGCAGAGACGAGATTCTCCTGCCACCAAACTCGACACACTCCACACCACGGCTGCGTCTAGAAATTCTGTCCATAAAAGTGATGAACAGAACCGGTGACAAAGGGCAGCCCTGGCGGAGTCCAACCCTCACTGGGAACAGGTCCGACTTACTACCGGCTATGCGGACCAAACTCACGCTCCTCTGGTAAAGGGACTGAATGGCCCTTAACAGAAAGCCACCCACCCCATACTCCTGGAGCGTCCCCCACAGGGTGCCCCTGGGGACACGGTCATAAGCCTTCTCCAAATCCACAAAGCACATGTGGATTAGTTGGGCAAACTCCCATGCCCCCTCCATCACCCTTGCAAGGGTATAGAGCTGGTCCACAGTTCCACGGCCAGGACGAAAACCACATTGCTCCTCCTCTATCTGAGATTCAACTATCGATCGGACCCTCCTCTCCAGTACCTTGGAGTAGACCTTTCCAGGGAGGCTGAGGAGTGTGATCCCCCTATAGTTGGAACACACCCTCAGGTCACCCTTCTTAAAGATGGGGACCACCACCCCGGTCTGCCACTCCCTAGGAACTGCCCCCGATGACCACGCAATGTTGTAGAGACGTGTCAACCATGACAGCCCTACAACATCCATAGCCTTGAGATACCCAGGTTGAACCTCATCCGCCCCCGGGGCTCCGCCGTTGTGTAGTTGTTTGACTACCTCAGCAACTTCTGCCCCCGAGATCGGACAGTCCATCCCCAGGCCTCCCAGCTCTGGTTCCTCCTCGGAATGTGCATTGGTGGGATTGAGGAGCTCCTCAAAGTATTCCTTCCACCGTCCGACTATAGCCCCAGTTGACGTCAGCAGCTCCCCATCCCCACTGTAAACAGTGTGAGCGAGTTGCTGCCTTCCTCTCCTGAGGCGCCGGACAGTTTGCCAGAACCTCTTTGGAGCCGATCGATAGTCTTTCTCCATGGCCTCACCAAACTCCTCCCACACCCGAGATTTTGCCTCGGCAACTGCCACTGCTGCACCCCGCTTGGCTATCCGGTACCTGTCTGCTGCCTCCGGAGACCCACAGACCAGCCACGCCCTGTAGGCCACCTTCTTCAGCCTGACGGCTCCCCGAACCTCTGGTGTCCACCAGCGGGTACGGGGGTTGCCACCACGACTGGCACCGGCCACCTTACGACCACAGCTAGCAACAGCCGCCTCGACAATCGCAGAGTGGAACAAGGCCCACTCGGACTCAATGTCCCCCACTGCTCTCGGGACGTGGTCAAAGCTCTGCCGGAGGTGGGAGTTGAAGACCGTCTTGACAGGTTCTTCTGCCAGGCGTTCCCAGCAGACCCTCACTATGCGTTTGGGTCTGCCAGGTCTACGCGGCATGTTCCCTTGCCATCTGATCCAACTCACCACCAGGTGGTGATCAGTTGACAGCTCCGCCCCTCTCTTCACTCGGGTGTCCAAAACATACGGCCGCAGGTCAGATGATACGACTACAAAATCTATCATCGACCTGTGACCTAGGCTGCCCTGGTACCAAGTGTACCGGTGGGCATCCTTATGTTCGAACATGGTGTTCGTTATGGCCAAACTGCGGCTTGCACAGAAGTCCAATAACAAAACACCGCTCGAGTTCAGATTAGGTGGGCCGTTCCTCCCAATCACACCCCTCCAGGTCAAGCTGTCATTGCCCACGTGAGCATTGAAGTCCCCCAGCAGGACAATGGAGTCCCCTGATGGAGCACTATCTAGCACTCGTCCCAGGGACTCCAAAAAGGGTGGGTACTCTGAACTGATATTTGGCCCATAAGCACAAACAACAGTCAGGACCCGTTCCCCGACCCGAAGGCGCAAGGAAGCTACCCTCTTGTCCCCCGGGGTAAACCCCAACACACAGGCAGAGAGTCTCGGGGCTAACAAAAAGCCAACCCCAGCCCTCCGCCTCTCACCCGGAGCAACTCCAGCAAAGTAGAGTGTCCAACCCCTCTCCAGGTCTCGGGTTCCAGAGCCAATGCAATGTGTCGAGGTGAGTCCGACTATATCTAGCCGGTACCGCTCAACCTCTGCCACAAGCTCCGGCTCCTTCCCCGCCAGCGAGGTGACGTTCCATGTCCCAAAAACTAGTTTTCTTGTCCGGGGATTGGACCGCCAAGGCTCCCGCCTTGGTCTGCCACCCGATTCGCATTGCACCGGACCCTTCATGTTCCTCCTGCGGGTGGTGGGTCCACAGTTGGACGAGCCCATGTATCCGGTTCGGGCTGGGCCCGGCCGGGCCCCATGGGCGAAAGCCCGGCCACCAGGCGCTCGCTCACGGGCCCCAACCCCAGGCCTGGCTCCAGGGTGGGACCCCGGTAACCCTCCAGGCCGGGTACTCCGACTCTTCGTTTTAACCGCCATGAAAGATCCTTCGAACCGTTCTTTGTCTCACCCTTCACCTAAGACCAATTTGTCATGGGAGACCCTACCAGGGGCACCAAGTGCCCCAGACAACATAGCTCCTAGGATCATTAGGGCACTCAAACTCCTCCACCACGATAAGGTGACGGTTCAAGGAGGAGTATTTTCTTCTTCTTCTTTAAAAAGAAGTTTAGGTTCTTGTAGATGAGTTTTATGTTCAGGGGAATCCAGTTAAACTACACACTCATTCTCCTTCTGCACAGATGGCTGACATATATGACTCGGACCATGGGCTTGTTAAAATTGACCCATGCAAGTGGTCTCCTGACATGGACATTGCCTTGTGGTTGTCGCAAAGTGATGATACAATTTTAAAGGTAAGAAAAGTCTGATTGAATTAACCTTGTGAAGAAAACATGCAATCTTTAGTTAAAGGTGTAGAGCACTCGTTTGATCAACACATCTGCAGCCGTCTCCAGTAGGAATGGATGCCTTGTAAGTTGTTTGTGTGTGGGGGGTAAGGGTTAGGCCTGAATCAGGAAGTATAAGTCAACAGAAGGAAAAAGTGGGTGTTTCTCAATGTCAAGGCGCCTGGCCTTGCGAGGCGATGTCTTACGAGGACACGGTCCTTCCTTGGTCAAAGAAAACGGTTAAATGGAACAGATTTGCATCACGTGACCGCGGCTTCCACGACGGTCACGTAACTTCACGTGACACGGGAGATAACATTATATTTTATACGTATTAGTTTAAATATAAATATATACCTTTTACTTTTTAAATTGTGTATATGTTTATTAAATTAAAAATATAAGCAAGTTACTACCCGCTAGCCACCAAAGCTGCAACTACTAAGCAACTAACCAACCATAGATAACTTCTTTGGATCTAAAAAACATTTTAAATTAGCTGACTCACTTTTAAACTTGAAATTTGCCCCAGAAGTAGCTGCCGGCTTCTGATCCGCTGTCCTTTTGAAAATACTGCGGTGTATTGTGGGTAATTTTTGACCAAGGCTAGGCTACAAGACACCTCCCGTGTATCCTTGCTCAGCTAGCTAAACGGCTAACAAACGGAGAACACGCCTCGGTAGAACATGAACATTGAAACATGTCTTGGCGGCTCCTGATGACGTATCTCCTAGGCAACCGGGGCGGGGCCAAGGCATCAAGGCGAAGTTCCTTGGCATTGAGAAACACCCCTGTAGCTTCAGACGGTAGGGTCTGGATTCGTATTTCCTAATATTTGGACATCTCTGATTGGCTAACAGCAACACGACTCTACCACTGACTGTTGGTCTACAACGTTGATTTTTTATCTTCACAAATAACACAAGCCTGGAGGAGTTCTGCTGTGTGGTGGAGCTGCTAATGCTAACAGTTAGGTTCTACTAGCTGAGACGTTCTCTGCCGTTTCCTGGATGCTAAACCAACAACAGCCTTCCCCGTCGTGAGTCCAGATGGGTGAGTCCATGAATGTTAGTGACAGAGTGACATAGATCTGTCAGGATTTTCTATCCTAGAGTTTCACCGTCTGATTTCTATCAGAAACTACTGCAGGAGATCGGTGTAGGAGACTATTCTCATGTTCAGCCTGCATGAAACACTCAGACTGACCTGTTAGAATCAGAAGTAACCATTAAAATATGGTTTTTCAGTGTCCCGCACCTTTAAAAGGTTAAATCCTAAACCAACCGATGCTAACTCTGGATTTTTACTGTTTTATTTTAGTGCCTTTCCACGTCTCCGATGGCTGAGCCGCCACACTTTGTCCAGCACATAAAGTCGACCATCCAGTTCATTTTAGCGCACCCAAATTCTGACAGCTTGTTTCCAGGCCGTCAGCCTCAGCTATACCACAGGAACCAGAGCGGAGACTGGGAGAGGCTCCTCCGGTCGTAGCTCCCTCTTTGTTTCTGACCGGTTCCTGCCTCTCGTTTCAACAGAAACACTGTGACCCTTAAACTCATCGTCTGTTTGACTGTTGTGTCGTAACGTGGAGTGCTTTACGGATCCCGCACATCAGCTGTCTTACTGTCCTGCTAGACCACTCTTATCTCCACTCCTATGAGTTGAAACGCAGCCTGCGCCTTGCACCACCTTCTGTGTTTTTAAGTGTTTTTTATTGTAATGGACACGGTGGAACATTTTTATCTTCTTTGATTCATAAATAGTAATTGCTTGTTCCACTTATTGTTCAGTTTGAGGCAGTGCAGCGTAAGTCCACCTGACCTCTGATTGTGAGCCATTTTGGTGCCAAAAGTTCAGACGAGAAGCAAAATGACCTTTATGATTAGACGACGTATTATGGTACAGCACCACACAGGAAAGTAATTAAAAACGTATTTCTAAAGGCAGCGATTGTAGGTTTCAGGTTTATATTATTTGGACTCTGTGTTTATTAAGCATTTGTCCATGATTATAGTTGAGCCTAAACATCTAAACAGCAAAAGTAAATATATGACATTAATGTACCTTTTATATTAGAGCTTTCAGGTTTTCCTCTTAAAGAAACCATAAACGATATTTAGTGGCGTCCTCCGCATCCCGCTCTACACTCGCCTTTGATTGTGTTTGTGTCAGAAACTGCACGCGTGTGCATCTTTTGCTTTTATAAGGAATGACATAAATTCTTGTTGAGTGCAATAAAAATGTGTTTATGAGTTTTCTCTGATCATTAAAACAGATCAAATCTGAAGACAATACTTTTTGTGTGATTTATAAAGAAACTGTTGTGAGGTGTTTTGAGCTTTCAGTTTAATGTAAACATGCTGAATCAGAATAAACAGCTGGGGGGGGGGGGGGGGGGGGGCATGGTTACATCTGGTACCAGCGCCAGGTGACCCTCATGAGAACAAAAATTCAACTCACTAATGAGTAGGTCTATCGTCTGAACTCTTCCAGATAAACATCAGTGTCATTCAGATACACACACATATATACTGTATACATGCATACACACACACACACACCATACATGAAAACATACACACACACATATATACATACACACACCATACATGAAATCATACACACACATATATACATACACACACCATACATGAAAACATACATACACAGATACATACACACACACATATATACTGTATACATGTATACACACACATACACACAATACATGAAAACACACACACACACATATATATACATACACACACCATACATGAAAACATACACACACACATATATACATACACACACCATACATGAAAACATATACATACACACACACATATATACTGTATACATGCATGCATACACACACACATATATACATACACACACCATACATGAAAACATACATACACACACACATTTACTGTATACATGCATGCATACACACACACACCATACATGAAAACATACACACACACATATATACATACATACACACACCATACATGAAAACATACACACACACATATATACTACACACACCATACATGAAAACATACATACACACACACATTTACTGTATACATGCATACATACACACACACACCATACATGAAAACATACATACACACACACATTTACTGTATACATGCATGCATACACACACACACCATACATGAAAACATACACACACACATATATACATACACACACCATACATGAAAACATATACATACACACACACATATATACTGTATACATGCATGCATACACACACACACCATACATGAAAACATACACACACACATATATACATACACACACCATACATGAAAACATACACACACACACATATACATACACACACCATACATGAAAACATACACACACACATATATACTGTATACATGCATGCATACACACACACACCATACATGAAAACATACACACACACATATATACATACACACACCATACATGAAAACATACACACACACACATATACATACACACACCATACATGAAAACATACACACACACATATATACTGTATACATGCATGCATACACACACACACCATACATGAAAACATACACACACAGATACATACAGGTGCTGGCCAGTAAATTAGAATATCATCAAAAGGTTGAAAATATTTCAGTAATTCCATTCAAAACGTGAAACTTGTACATTATATTCATGCAATGCACACAGACCAATGTATTTCCAATGTTCATTACATTTAAATTTGATATTCATAAGTGACAACTAATGAAAACTCCAAATTTGGTATCTCAAAAAATTAGAATATTCTGAAAAGGCTGAATATAGAAGACACCTGCTGCCACTCTAATCAGCTGATTTACTCAAAACACCTGCAAAGGCCTTTAAAAGGTCCCTCAGTCTTGTTTTGAAGGCACCACAATCATGGGGAAGACTTCTGACTTAACAGCTGTCCAAAAGACAATCATTGACACCTTGCACAAGGAGGGCAAGACACAAAAGGTGATTGCTAAAGAAGCTGGCTGTTCGCAGAGCTCTGTGTCCAAGCACATTAACAGACAGGCGAAGGGACGGAAAAAATGTGGTAGAAAAAAGTGTACAAGCTCTAGGGATAACCGCACCCTGCAGAGAATTGTGACGACAAACCCATTCAAAAATGTGGGGGAGATCCACAAAGAGTGGACTGCAGCTGGAGTCAGCGCTTCAAGAACCACCACGAGGAGACTCATGAAAGACATGGGATTCAGGTGTCGCATTCCGTGTGTCAAGCCACTCTTGAACAAGAAACAGCGCAAGAAGCGTCTCGCCTGGGCCAAGGACAAAAAGGACTGGACTGATGCTGAGTGGTCCAAAGTTATGTTTTCTGATGAAAGCAAGTTCTGCATTTCCTTTGGAAATCAAGGACCCAGAGTCTGGAGGAAGAGCGGAGAAGCACAGAATCCACGTTGCATGAGGTCCAGTGTAAAGTTTCCACCGTCAGTGATGGTGTGGGGTGCCATGTCATCTGCCGGTGTTGGCCCACTCTGTTTCCTGAGGTCCAGGGTCAATGCAGCCGTCTACCAGGAAGTTTTAGAGCACTTCATGCTTCCTGCTGCTGACCAACTTTATGGGGATGCAGACTTCACCTTTCAACAGGACTTGGCACCTGCACACAGTGCCAAAACCACCAGCACCTGGTTCAAGGACCATGGTATCCCTGTCCTTGATTGGCCAGCAAACTCGCCTGACCTTAACCCCATAGAAAATCTATGGGGTATTGTGAAGCGGAGGATGCAATACGCTAGACCCAACAATGCAGAGGAGCTGAAGACGACTATCAGAGCAACCTGGGCTCTCATAACACCTGAGCAGTGCCACAGACTGATCGAGTCCATGCCACGCCGCATTACTGCAGTTATTGAGGCAAAAGGAGCCCCGACTAAGTATTGAGTGCTATACATGCACATTCTTTTCATGTTCATTCTTTTCAGTTGGCCAACATTAGAGAAACAAACATTTTTTCATTGGCCTTTAGAATATTCTAATTTTCTGAGATACCAGATTTGATGTTTTCATTGGTTGTCACCTATAAATATCAAAATTAAACGTAATAAACATCGGAAATACATTGGTCTGTGTGCATTGCATGAATATAATGTACAAGTTTCACGTTTTGAATGGAATTACTGAAATATTTTCAACCTTTTGATGATATTCTAATTTACTGGCCAGCACCTGTACATACATACATAAATACATACACACATATACTGTATACTTACATACTTTTAAACATACACTCACACACGCCATACATACATGCACAGATATATACATACACATATATACTGTATACATATGTACACATACACACATATAAATGCATACTCACACACACACAATACATACATACATGCATAGATATATACATACACATATATACATACACACATAAATGCATACATACACACACACACACACACACACACCATACATGACATACATACACATATATACTGTATACATGCATACATACACACATATAAACATACACATACATAAAATCACACACACACACACACACACACACACACACACACACACACACACACACACACACATTCACACATATATACATACACACATATATACATACACACATAAATCTATATTAATGTCGATGATAAATGCACACACACACACACACACACGCACGCACGCACGCACACACACACACACACACACACACACACAATCAGTAATTGAGCTCCGCCCACACTCATTTTTTTACGTAAGAAACGTAAAATACGCAGATGGAAAAAACCCCAGCTGGTGGTTCCGACTCCCGAGTACCGGGTGGAGTTTGACAAGCAAGTAGAACCTCCTGTGTGGAATTATTTCGCATCATTACAACAGATATTTTTGTGTTTATTCGCAGGTTAGAGACATTTGTTGAAAAATGAACGGAAACGAACAGCGCCGGTGTTCCTTTCACTGATGCTAAGTCCTTCCGATAGAAGACACAGAAACATTTAGCTAACTAATTTTTCATACGTTATTGACTCGTAACCAGTGACGGCAGGTCAAACATGCTTCAGGCGTTTCTGAAACACGTCCGTCGGTTTCCGTGGGTCACGAACGTCACACTGTACGGCTGCCTGTTCGCCGGGGGGGACCTGGTCCACCAGTGGTTCTCTCTCAGGGACCAAATGGACTGGAGTCAGACGCGCAACGTTGCGGTGGTCGCCTTCAGTTTCCATGGCAACTTCAATTTCTTCTGGATGCGTTTTCTGGAGCGCAGATTTCCGGGATACTCCATGAGAATGGTGATGAAGAAACTTTTCCTGGACCAGACAGCGGCTGCGCCATTGGCTACCAGCGTCTTCTACACGGGTCAGTGAACGCACCACGGTAATATTTAACAACAGGTCACCTGTTCGTTCACCTGTCACCAGGTTCAAGTGGTGCAGAGATCAGCGCTTCTTCATAGTTCTGCACAACTTGGATTCACCAGCAGAGGTCAGAGTTTGGACTGAAAACCAGCAGCTGTGGTTGAGAGAAGTGAGCTTGGATGTGATGTTGCTTCTGCAACAAAAGTAACTGGATTGTGGAATCTTAGAGGAATCATAATAATCTATAAATATATTTTTGAGAACATGTTTTTATTTTTCAAACGTTACTAACACAAGCTGTTGGTTTCAGTAAAGATGATTTCAAACCTTTATTCGTGTGAAACTTCATTTTTCTCCAGCCGTCAGCTTCTTGGAGGGTAAAGAGGACATCTTTGAGGACTGGAGAGCAAAATTCCTGAATACATATAAGGTAGGTCAAAGTTTCCTGTACACCTTTGGAAAATATGGAAAGTTCAGAAAAAAAGGATTAATCAAATGTGTACAGTATTGCTGCTAAACTTGCACAAGATTAGAAAATAATAATTAACTGGTGTAGCAGAGTGCTGTATGCATTAAGGCAGGGGCGGTCCTAGACCATTTGGCGCCTTAGGTAAGCTTTCCTGGAGGCTGTGGACACGTAGCCGGGTGTCCCACAAGGGAAGACATTTTTGCACGGTTTGGCCTGTCATCCCCACAAAAGTCAAGATAAACAGCACCAAAATGTTTTCTTTAAAAAGCACAAACCAAATTACAGATTTGTGATTTCTCCACTGTCAGCATTTGCTTGTGGACGTAAATAACCCAGTTTTAGATTTCGCTGTCGCTGTCCTTAAGAAATGCTCTGACATCACACGTGTGACTCGTGGTTAACGTCGCTTAATAGATTTTACACGGGTTAGGGTTACGTTTTCTAAAAGACCACAGGCAAAGGACGACGTTAACAATGGTTATTGCCCACCACCCAGTTACTTATTTATACTTTATTTTTTAATCTTTTCCCTTTTAGTTTCTGATTTTTGTTCTTGTGAAGCGCCTCATGAATTTTGTTTTGAGAGGCGATATATGAAAGATCGTCTCTACTTCTGTTACACATCAGAGATTTTTTTCAGCAAAGATCTGGAGAACTAATACCCCCCCCCCCCCCCCCCCCACACACACACACACACACACACACGAGGAAGAATGGGGTTGTGATTGATGCTTGATGCAATGCTTTGAGGGTAAAAGCAGTGTTATAGCTTTGAAAAAATCCTTTTACTTTGATAATGGCATTTCAAAACCCTCACATATTCTATGGTTAGCCATCAGAAGATATGGACGTTGCATCAACATGAGTAAAAGCTTATTGGCTGTATTTCCACTGAAGTGAGCTACATCGGGATCATACCAGAGACTTTAAAATGGGACCCAACGCCTCCCTGCTGGACCCTCAGCTTCAAGAGGTTGTATTGGGGGGGTTAAACCACCAAATAGTTCACGAGCGCGGCCGTGTCTGCAGCCAACTGTTCCCCACGAGGATGGGATGGATGTGTAAGACAATTTTCACCACACAACAGTGTGTGTGACAACTATGGGACTTTAGCTTTAGTTTAAAGGGAGAGTTGGCAGTTTTGGCTTGCATTTAGCACCCCCTAGTGTCCATTTGTAGAAGCGAAACCAAAACCTCTCTCCTCGCTGTGCCTTCTCCCAGCCTTCCACAGGGGCCACAGGGGGCAATAGGGGCTCGGTGGTCTTTCGGTTACCCTGTGAAGGGGTATATTAGCACATACTGGTTCAAGAAAATGATTTAAAAATAGGAAAAGTTTGCAAAGTATCCCTTTAAGGTGGAATGATTGCTGTTGAAGTTATTCGTCTGAGTTTTACCAACATGTGTTCTTTCTGTTTGTCTCACTTTTCAGACCGGGTTAATGTTCTGGCCGTTCATGCAGGTAAATCTAGACTTGGTCAGGAGTCAGACAGCAAACCAAACTAACTCGTCCACTCATGTGTGCATCTCTTGCTTCTCAGTTTCTGAACTTTGCCCTGGTGCCTCTGTACATTCGGACCACCTTCACCGGCTGCTGCGCCTTCGTCTGGGCCACCTTCCTGTGTTTCTCCCGTCAGACTGGTGACGGCACAGCTAGAGCTGCGCTGGCATGGATGTTCCCTCCTAAACATGAACCAGAAGAAGAGGAAGTAGACTCCAAGCACGAGGTGGAAGAAGCTGCATCATCTAAACCTTTACAGCGAGGTTAAAGATACTCGATGTTGCAGTAACACTGCCAGGTCCGTTGGTCTCAGACTCGTGTGTGTCCTCGTGATGCTGCAAGGTCCTCTGGACCTCCATCCTCTAGCTCAACGAATGTTAATGATTCAAAGCAAGTTAATGGTGGTTTATGGTTGGGTTCCTACATTTACAGCAAGTGAGGTTCCTTAAGCCCGAACCACGCTGCACTTTTCAACTGTTGCACAAGACTGCTCATGACACACTGATAACTCTAGCGAGGTGGCGCACCACGGCGCATGAGTTCAGTGAGCCAGACGGCACGATGTCTCATCCCAGCAGGAAACGCTGCATCATGAGCACACCCCTCGAAAAGCTTACGTCACTAAAAGCAGACGGCTACTCAAAACAACAACGCTGAAAGAGAGAAGTGCTGCCGTTAACACTTTTCTTAGAACACAAGCTCCAAAAAAGGAGGGGTCCGCTTGTTCCTGCGTGTAGCATCCACTGTTGCACGCTCATCACTAGCTGTTCGTGTCAATCCCTGGGCGTATTTTCATTGGTCGATTGAAGATGGGAGTCGTAGGTTTCCAAGAAGACTGTTGGAGGCTGACTTTGGTCATGCGAGTGCTCCTTAAGCTCTTGCAGAGCCGGTCACACTGGACGGCCACAGGCTTGCAAATCACCCTCATGTTCATCGTTATTTTGTCACGATTCTGTTCACGACGTGAGATTTGTCTAGGGTGGCCAAAAACGCACAGTGTGGTTCGGGCTTTACTTATAATAATAATAATAATAACAACAACCAATCAAAAAGCGTTTTCAGTCTTAAGCGCTTTAAGCACAATGAGGCTAAAACTGAACAAATGAGTTATGGGTAATTAGAGCTGATTGATGTTTAATATTATTATCTAATAGCTCTTGTGTGCAGCAACAATCATTTCCAGCACGTGGAGTGGTAACTACGTATTCAGCTTTGACTTTGTAAGAATAACATATTAGTAAGTGGTTATTACCCTGATCATGGTGAACTACTATTATCCAGGTTGTATTTTACTCTCTGGTACCTCAAGTGTGAAATGCTTCTAATTTTTAAAGATGTGGTTCACTCGTTCAATCAACACGTTTGAAGTGGTCTCTTGTAGGAATCGCTGCTTTCCAAGTTGCACTCTGAGGAAACAAAGCTCCGGTGCATCAGTTTCAGTGTGTAGAAGGGAGCCACATTAGAGGTAAGCTTCAGATGAGGAAGTACAAGTTACTGGAGGAGAAAGTAGTTCAGACGAGTCTTATTTCCTGATATGTGGACATCTCTCCTCTGATTGGCTAACAGCAACACGATTCTACCACTGACTCTGTTTGCTCTGCAACGCTGATGTTTTATCTCCACAATTAGCACAAGCCTGGAGGAGTTCTGCTGAGTGGTGGAGTTGCTAATGCTAACAGTTAGCTTCTACTAGCAAAGACGTTCTCTGCTGTTTCCTGGACGCTAAACCAAACACAGCCTTCCTCGTCGTGAGTCAAGATGAATGTTAAAGGGATACTTTGCAACTTTTTCATATATTTTAAATTTATATTTCTGATATATGTGCTAATTTACTTGTAAAGCCACCATTAAAGACCAAAATTAGCTGATGCATTTAAGTCAACAAATTTATGAGCTGAACAAACAATATAAATATATTAAAAGTATAGAAATTTGACCTGAAAAGATATTTTTAATTTTCACATTTGCCATTTTTTGTTTAAATAATTTAGTAATGAACAATTTAAGATGATGTATATCTATTGATAAATGTTACTGAACTGCTGAAATGCTGCATGAATATTTCAGTATGTTTATGTAAAAACCGTCATTTCAAGCTTTTCTTCTGCTTTTGTGCCGTTTTATATGTTCATGGGTGCTCTGAGGTGTTCCAAAAGCCTTCAAACGCTTTGTTTCACCTGCATTGATTCTTCCGTAATGTTTTTCGGTGCAGTTTGATATAAAAGTTGCTTTTGTTTATTATTTGAGATGAACTTACAGGAAATGTTTATATTATTCATTGTTTCAGCTGATAATCGTCAAACAGTTGATCACTTTCTGCAGAAACTTGTTCTCTTTCCTTGAGAATATTAGCATTTTAGGTTGATCGGTTGTGTAATTATAAGTGTAAGAAGTTTATGATTAATTGTTAAGAGCAAACAATATGAAGAAAGCTGCTTATGATATTAATATTTTAACTTCTACTTTCTGAGAGTATAAATAGTATTGGTGTTGTAATTCATACATTATTTAATAATTCTGTGCTCGTGCCACACTGGAACAGAAATGTCAACGCATTTAATATTCTAGTTGTTCATATCTGCTGGATGATGTTATTTATGGTTTAGTTCGTACAATCGGACGCCTCTGGTTTATTTTTAGAGACTTATGTATAATATATATGGGTGCTCTTTAATCTTTAAATAGATTTTATGTCTCAAAGGTTTTTTGAACTTTCTGCAAATGAATAAGAAAAACATCTTCCATTTTTACTGAGCATTAAAATGATTATTATTTGTGGAGTTTGTTAGAATAACTAACAAGAGTCATCTTCTCTCATAAGTTCAGTTTAATTATCTGAAGATTTTCAGGTGTTTGATGGCATTAATAAAAAAAACATGTAATTATACTTTTGCTGTCCCTTCAGTTCCTTCTCCATCTTACTGTCGTGATTAAATTAGAATAAATGTTTTTCCTCATGAGACTGATGCATCACTTTTTAAACAGCTTCTCATATAAACTGAGAAAATTTGTTGGACTAATTTATTTTTATTAAAACAAATAAATAAACCTTCCTCCCTCCCTGCGCTCATTTACTAAAACCATTTCCATCAAACCTCCCTGAAGCGGCCTGATTTATTTTTATCCCATCGCCAGTGCGCGTCCTCTCGTCCCTGCCCGCACTGCGCATGCGCCCTCCATCCTCGAGGTTTCGAAGGCTCGGCTGAAGATGCGCAGAGTCTCGTGTCGGTGGTCGCTTGTCACCGGATGAAACAGACGTTTTGGATCTGAAGGCTCACGGTCGAGGTTTTGATTTTGTGTAATTCCTCGGCGCGCGCGCACTCCTCCGACATGGAACTGAAGAAATCTTTCTCAGACAGCGAGCGCGCGCTCAGGAGCTACGGCGCCGTGTCGGAAACAGCGTGGACGACGGACAAAGGTGAGAAGCACCTGTCCAAAGATGTGTGGTTGTTCACAACAGAACCGGATCGACGTCCGGATATGAAAGGGTTAATGCGTGACTCACAAAGCGTTTGATGTGTCTGAGCGATGCCTTATGGGTAAAAGGACACGCGCGCCGTGGCCATCAGGCTGCGCGTGCAGTTTCCGCCAATAAGCATCCTTCAGCTCTTTAAAGGCTCTGACAGAAATGTAGACAAAGATTTTTAAACAATATTTCAGATCTGTCCAGCTGCTTATAAAAAAAGTAAAATCCTTCATTTATTCGACATTAGATTTATTTAATAAGGCTTTGTGTCCAATCAGCAGCTTTAAGTGACAAGAATTAAAGCCCCAACTTTCAAAATAAAAGTGCACAAAATTCCAATATCATAAGGTTTATATATTTTAATCTGGAATCGCCTTGTTTTCATTAAAACAGCCTTGCTTTCTGTCTTTTTAACGGCAAGCGCTCAAATACTTATTATTTACAATAAAAACCACTATTAATCACAAATAACTATAAAAACATCATTTATCCAAATCAGCTTTTCTGCCACCGCACAATTTAAGTTCAATCATATCACAAAGGATGAGCTCAGAATAAACAGCAAAAGAAAAGTCACGTCATTCTGGATGTTTTTGTTATTTTGATTCATTCTGAATGTGAATTTTAAACATATATTTTGGACAAGTGTCCAGCGCAGATAGCTCAATAATGGTGCAACGTAACTTCCAGATAAAGTCTGAGAATAACAGAGGTTATTTTTGTCACAGACCCAGCCATTGTGTCCCATTTATCTCTAAACAAAACAGGCTGCATGGCATTTTTTTGCTGTCTGCATGTTGTTTTAGAGTGTGGAGGGGTGTGTGTTTCAGCAGCGGTGTGACTGCGCGCGTGTGTGTGTGTTGACCTTAACCCTATGTGGTTTTTGAGAGGGTGCAGGTTTTTTTTTATCTCTATCACTTTTATGAACAATAAATTAAATATAAGTTGACTGGTATGTTTCTGAAGGTTTTAAATCTGCACATATTGTCATTTTGTTATTGATCCATCTGTAATTATCAAACCGAGTCCAGATCTGTGCCTGCTGGTGAGTCAGCTCAGTCTTCACCTGATGGATGGAGGGCTCAACCAGCTGGTCCTCTACTGTAACAAACTCTGGATAAATGTCGTGCTTGACAATGAAGTAATTGTTTAGCCGTCTGAATGAGGGTCATGGATTTGGAGATGGATAATTTCACAGCTGGACAAGATTTAAACATTTTCAAAACCTGATTGTGTTTTGGAGAAGCAGCACCCTCTTCTACCAGCGCTCTTTTGCACGTGTGTGTTAGCTCTTGATGGTGTTTCCGGAGCATTCAGCCCCGATGATGTCGACACATTAGAAAAAGAAAAAAATGAAATAAGAAAAACAAGATTTTTGGTTAAATCATTTTTTGGAGATGCTGGCATCCGTATTTAGTTTTAAGCAGGAGATTATAAATAGATCCAATTAGTGAGTGTTTATTTGCAGACCAAGTTCACTGCGAAACTGTTTTGTTTTACTCGTTAATTTTGAAATGCAGTCCATCTCTCTGAGTGTTTCATGCAGAATGAACATGAAAATAGTCTCCTACACCTATCTCCTGCAGTAACTGCTGACAGAAAACAGACGGTGAAACTCTAGGATAGAAAATCCTGACAGATCTACGTCACACTGTCACTAACATTCATGGACTCACCCATCTGGGCTCACGACGGGGAAGGCTGATGTTGGTTTAGCGTCCAAGAAACAGCAGAGAATGTCTCAGCTAGTAGGAGCTAATTGTTAGCATTAGCAACTCCACCACACAGCAGAACTCCTCCATGCTTGTGTTATTGGTGGGGATAAAACATCAACGTTGCAGAGCAAACGGAGTCAGTGGTACAGTCCTGTTGCTGTTAGCCAATCAGAGGAGAGATGTCCACATATCAGGAAATAAGACTCCAAATCCTGCCGTTTTCTGCCCCCCTCAAAGCCTCAGGCTAAATTCTACTTCCTGAAACAGGAGCGCCAGGACTTTTTTCCACAGAGATCGACTCACAAGACATTCTGATGATGTGTTGAAAATAAATGAGTGAACAAGAGTGAGCTTTAATCTCTTAGCTGATGTAAAAAGCTCCATGAACAACAACAGTCTAGAGAAATAGAGATGAGTTCTGACTTATTAGAAAATGTTCATATATTTTTTAAATATGCATCTATTTGTTATGTTATGGTTTGTTTCTTTTTTATTTTTGTACGTTACTGCAAAGATAAACGTCTCCCATGAGAGACAAATTAAGGAACCTGTACAGAATTTCATGCTAACTTTAATTTATAAACTTCTACCTCATTATATATTTTACCTCTCACAGTTAACTGTAACAGGCCCTTAGTGTGACTAGTTAGCTTGTCTTCGGACCGGTTCAGGATTAACTGTTGGATGACTTTCAAAACATGACACAGATGTGGTCATAAAATATCATAGATAAAACCGGTTTGGTCCTAAATTGGTTGTTGTCCGGCTACATGGTTAAATACACAACACACACACACAAACCAATTTCACACACCAGCATTTTGATAGGAAATCTCACAAAACATCTCGAGATTGAACTTCACTTAGGAGAGAACAAATGCTTCCGTCTCCTCGCTTTCTGATTGGCTACATGTCACATTCATCAGACAGCATGCCTGTTTGTCCCTGAAATCTAACCAAGACAGCTTCGGTGTTACGGCCGCCGCCGTTTTGGAGCCCCAGTGGTGTGCGGCGCTCCCTGTTTTCCTTTTCAGCAGTGCAGCACCTTGGACAGCTGCCCCTTGGGACGCATCTTTCCTCCAGGACCATGGACAGCACCAGGGCAGCAGTCACGGCCAGCTGGGGACTTTTCACCTCATCAGCTGGCCCTTTAAAGTGGCCAGCTGGAGCTCATCAGCGGAGAGAAATCGTTTGTGGGTTGCAGCAGCAACTGATGTTCTCTTCCCTTGTGGTTTCTTGGCTCCGTCTCAACCTTTTTGCAGTTTGTGCTTACTTCTAGAGAGAGAGTGGGTAGGATTTTGGTGTTTGGGATAATTTGAGTTAGTTGGTAATTTTGGTTTGGTTCGTCTATTAGACTACCTCGGTTAATTACCAGTTGGGGTTTTGCCCTTTATGGAGTTCCGGTTTCCTTTTAATAAAGAAGAGCTATTCAAGGATTTTGACAATTTCAGTTACATTGGTAATTTTAGTTTGGTTTGTCTGTCAGACAAATCTTGGTTAATTACTCAGTGGGGGTTTTTGCCCTTTCTTGATTTCCAGTCCCCTTTTAATAGAGGAGAGTTATTTTAGGATTTTCAGTGTGGACGTTCTCAGTTAAATTGTTAATCTTAGTTTGGTTTGTCCTTTGGACACGCCTTTGTTAATTTCTAGGTGAGGGTTTTGCCCCCTCCTTTTGGAATTTTTAGCCCCTTTTAATAAACCTTTGAAAACAAGGACACTTTGAATTGGATTTGCTTTGTCAAGCCTTTTTCCCCCCTTTAGGGTGACCTTACGTTAGACTCATCCATTTTCCCCCCTCCTCATCTTCCTAGCTGAGCCCACTGTAGGGGTGTAACACTCCTAACACACCACACACGCCAGGAACATCTGATGAGATTATCTTTAGAGTCTTTAGCACAATCTGGCCCTTCCTTAAGATTGTCGGAAGGGGAGGTTTCGGGTAGAAAATTGGTGATTATCCTTAGCAAAGCTGATCTCTGTCTCCAAACTGAGGCTGTTCAAAGAAAAATTCTTTCACTTGAATGATGTGTTTAGGGGCCTTGTGGGTGCCTTTGGGGGCTTTCTTCTGCAATGAAAGTCTATAAACAGAAGGAGGAAGGTTGTATTAGTTTTTATTTTTGGTTCACTTCCTGCCTGGTAAATAAAACTTAATTTAGATCAAAATCCAGTCCCATGGGTTTAATGTAGCAGGGTTTTTGTTCTTATATGAACTCAGCCAAGATTTATGAACACATGAATCAAGAAGAATTAGCAAGGAGAGCACTAATTGCTGGAAATGTTTCTGTCTGGTGCTGGAGTGTTTTTGGTGGTCGGTGCATTGATTAGTGCATTAAGTGGTGTGTGTGTGGTTATCTGCTCTCCCACAACAGGAGCTTCCCAGGAAAACATTAAAATGTTCAGTGGAGAGAAACGTTTGCATACTGGAATCTCTCTCACGATGCGTCACATGAAAACTGTTGTGTAGCTTGATGTCTTCGTTAGAACGTTTTTAAGAGCGGCAAAGCAGAAATGAAAAGAACCCGATTCGGGATTAAGAAGTGGAGCATCACCATCACAGAGGCCAGAACCTGTTCCCGCTGCTTCTGTCCCTGACAGCCGTCGTTGTTGTTGATTAAACCCCCACTGTACCTGCCAGGTCACCTGGATGTGTCCATGGCGGAGAGCACCATCTCCCCGGAGGAGATCGAGGTGGAGATGGCTCGCATC